TTTTGACACAGTTAATTTATAAACAGTTCCTCAAGCCCCCTGATTGCTTAAGTAGTAACAGTTGCTACCAGTGTGACTACAGTGTAAACGTCTCTGCAGTATCACCCCACTTATTACTTTATTTCAATTCAATGCAAGAGGAAAATTCTTCCCTCCATGCCTCCTTCAGGCTATTCCTATAACAACTTTATGGCCTTTGCGAGAATAGCACTCTTAGAATTTAAGTGCCTCTTTACAGTCAGTTGGAAAAGATGTTTTAAATACAGTTCATAATGTGTAAATTTTAATGGACCCTTATAATTTGGAAAGCTTCAGTGATCCCTTTCAAGATGTTACGTTGGCCTAGGCAGTTGAGGAGCTTGTATAGATTGTATGTTACAAACGTTAACACTGCAAATTCAGTTTGTTTTATTTTTTTCAGGCAGCGCAAGAAGCCACGGGTACACACAACTGCAGGGTGTTGCAGTCATTTATGGGATGCACACACTTATTGCATCAAGGCTAAGGTGTTGATTGAATTGTTTTTGTATTGTTTTGTCAGCTATTAAACAGGCATATCTGCAAGCGTCTTGAAAAGTTTAAAAAAGCTTTTGATTCAGTTTCCTCCAAAATAAGGCCTGGAGAGGTATTTAAGAGTTTTGAAATTGAATTTACCAAGGCTCATAAAATACTTTTTTCTCTTGGCCCGCTGTAAGGAGAAGCGCTCTAGTTATGATATGTTTTTGGTATTGCGGATTTGTTGGCTGTCAGAGATGTTACACACTTACAAAACTAAAAATGGGTTTGTTGCAAAAACAGTGATTGTGCAAATAGGGAGGCTGTTCCATCATTTTTTGTGGGTTGGAGCTTCAGTCAGCACTCATCAGACCTGCAGCAAGGTCCTGTCACTACTGCTTACAGCAGCTGACAGCTGTAGAGGCTTGTTTGTCTTTTGAATGGGATAGATATTTATTTGAACTGAACTTCAAAAAAGGAAAATTGTATAGGCTATAACTAATCGATTATTGTCATCATTGAGTAAATCTGCTCAATTTTCTGCATTAATCAATTAGTGTAATGAAATGTCAAAAAGTAATAGAAATTTGGTTCCTTGTAAAAACTTTCCCACAGCCTAATGTGAATCTTCTCATTGCGTGTTCTGGCTGTTTAACCAGTTCCCAAACCTGGAAATTTCATTTCATTAACTGATTAATTGAATATCAAAAAATATGTTTGAGTTTTCTCTCAAATCGATGAATTTATTTAAGCAAACTTAATTCCATTCTTAATTGGTTAATCCATCCAAACCCATTTTTCTGCCACTAATCCATGCCCAGGGCCGCTCTAATTAAATCTAATGTATATAATGAAGGATTCAGGTGTTATATCTGATGGGGAAAAAGTGATAAAATAATTCTAGGTCATATTGTCCCTTCCGTTTTTTTATGTTCAATTGCTTTTGTTGGTAGTGAGTTGTTGATTCGCGGTAATAAATTTTGGCAAGTTCCTGTGTGCGTGATAAAAGTCTGAAAATTCAAACTTGCCTGCAGGAAAGCTGTTAACAAAAAGAATCTTAGGGAATAGTTAAGTTTAAATCGAAGGATGACACTGAAGCCTAAAATAGTATTTCTTATTGCCCAGGTGTTGCACTACACTGAGCAAGTTAGGCCTGTTGAGCAGCCTCGTCTCCATGCAGAATGCCATGGAACCTTGTGTGTTTAAGTGTATTCTTTATATCAAGTTTGTCTAAAGCGTTTCAACCAGCCGACAGTGTTTCTTTTGAGTTCATAGCTGCAGGCCGGATGTGCAAACCACTTTGCTGTATCTGGTCAAAACAGACCGTATCAGCCACTCCCTGACTTTATAAATGTGAAAAAACCTTGCACCATTCCGGTCAGCCTTTTAATGTCCAGCTAAAGTATCCCCCTCCTTCCTTCTCCGGCCAAACCGCCATTTGTTCTCCTGAATAAAACTGTCATTGCGAGGCTTGATATCTGACCTCTACAGTGACTGCTAGCATAAACTAGCCTTGTCACAATATTGCAAATTGTCTTTCGCTTTCACTGCAGAATCAAGGTTTTGACATTCTCTTTAGAATAATAGGCTATTGTACACACGGACACTTTTGAAATCAAACTGCTACAGCGATAAAATGTCAAGGCAAAGTATCTTTTTTTTTTCTCTCCATCGTATAGCAGGCTTTTCTTTAACAGGTGAAGTCTAGAGAGTCAAATCAGTTGTCAAGGAATGGCATTGCATATCACAATACGCTTTGTGATTGCTCTGGTCTTCACCTGTGACCACACCACACATTGCTCGAGCTCTGCAGGAGTAGTGTATCAGCTTTCATTGCACGCTGGTTAACCAAGACTGCCCAGCTGCACACGACTCCGTGAGAGAAAGATGACACTGTGACTGGTCAGGTGTGTCCAGCCTGACAGATCTCTCCATCTGAGTGTTGAAAGAAAACATTCATTCCCAGCTCAATCTCACTCATTACTTTGTCTGTGCTCGGAAGAAGTTGGCAACGAGTACTCGTAGATGCATGCAGGAGGTCGGAACTATATAGGTGCCGCAATACACCGAAGATCAGCTAAGAGTCTATGGCTCAGACTGTTCGTGATTTGCCACCAAACTTCAGAGAGATCCTCTTTTACAAACCACCTGACAGCCAAACTTAAAGGAGGATAATGATGGGTGAGAAAGCAGCTCCCACAAAGCAGCACTGTCGGCACATAGAGGAAGGTGTGGAGATGTTGTCACGGGGAAGGCTGGATGTGTGTCAAAACAAGCGCTTCCAGCTCTCTGTATCGCAGCTCTGGCTCTTCAGTGATATTACTCTCATCCTCATCTTACCTCTCCACTGACTACCACTTGTCTGTCCCCACTGTCTCTCCCACTTTCTCTTCTCCTTCTCCTTTTTTTTTGGGCAGACAACTCTTTTCCTTATTCCATGTGGAACAACATAAAGAACACCATACAAAAAAAAAAAAAAAAAATCTGCTGAACTGTAATTCATGTTGTCAAGTAATCCTTAGTGTCATGGTTCGCTTTACAGCACTAATATGATTTTAACTCTGGCAGATTTCAAGGGAACATAAGACTCTTGATCTGCGTTGTAATTACGTAAATCTTTCAGGCCGTGTTCCCAGTTTTACTATAATTTGATGAGGAACTACACTGTAATTGAATATTCAAATTAGGAATATGTGTCAATATGGCTCTCCTTGCCTGAAATGAGGATTAATTGTTGTCAAAACTCCAGTGGCCGACATAATATGAGCCCCAACACTGCTGTTGATTAACAAATGCACTTGCAATGTTTTTGTTTTAAGAATTAGTTGTCTAATTGATTTGCCATATGTTACCCTCTCCAATGCACCTAAAATTGTATTTAGAAATCACCAGTTTGGATTGAGACAGTTTGTGTTCGAGACAGATGGGAAAAACGACCCTGGAGGTTGCCAGTAGAAAAGCATTTCTTGAGCACATTTTCCCAGGTTTCACACTGAGTGTTTAGAATTTTAAAGTACCACTTTCACTCTTTAGATACATAAATAGATAAACAGCCAGACCTAATAATTTCTTTTTCTCTCTGTTCTCTTTGTTTCTTCTCAGTACTAATTTAACAACACAAACGCAGATGCCTTAAAAGACATTTAAACCATTTCCTTCCACGTTATCAGACCGTGGGATGTATCCGTGCTTTGAAAGATGTGTACCTTTCTTCCTCAGCAGTGGAATCAACCTTTGCAAGGTAAAAGAAGTCTGCGTTGAATATGGCAATCGTTCCCGCAAGATTGATGCCAACCTTTTAAAAATTCACCATTGGCCTGGATTTAACATGGCCAAATGCTGATGTAAATGAGGAGGGGAAAAGTCGACCCTTTCATTGCAAATAAATCTGAGTTGCAGGCTTCAGCTCATAAATACCACAGCCTGTCAGAAGTCTTGTTTTATTGCTCTTGATGGAAATTATTGCATTTATTTATCTCATCCAAAGAGATAAGGCTTTGGAAGCCGCAACTCACATGCAGCACCCCGAGAATATATGATCTGTCTTAAATTTTAAAAATTTGGATTTTACACCCCATGCAAGCGAAGATTGATTATGTTATCCATAAACAGACCAAATACAGAACATGATACACACTTCATTATTTGCAACTTCACACCTGCTCACTTCCAAAATCTGTCCCGACTTTGTTATAATTCAGCGCTGTTTCCCTGCCTCCTCTGTCCCACTTGTCTGCCTTGTTCTTTCTCTTTAACAACCAACTCTTACTGTATGCCTGTGTGTCCTCCAATCAAAGCAATTCACTTTTTTAATGACATCGCCAACTGCTTTGCATTATCATTATAAAATCATTTGTTTTATAATGCCATCCCAGACCGTTCCCTTCAGAGCATGTCATGTTATGCAGCTCTCACTTGAAGCTGTGAATTTTTTTTTTTTTTTTTTTTCCTGCTTGCTGTGGATTTATCGATCCGTAGGGGTGAGTCACAGGGTGTAATTCATGATAGCTTGATTGATGAGGATTTCAATCTTATATGGTTTGTTAACTTCAACTGCCCACAAAGTGCATTCTGTGCTGTTTTCTGTAATACAAGGCCATGAAACGGTGAAAAAAAAAAATAAAAAACAGACTTCCCTTGAATAATGGAATCTCTCAGTTCCTCCAGAATTAACAAGATCCTGCTCCAAACCCCCCGTTAAAGGTCTGCTTGAGCCCCTGGGCAGCTGAGGCACGGTTTAACTTTTACCATATTTCTCCTCTTCACATTCAGCCTGGTATTTCACTGCTCTGTTTTGCCTGTAGACAGATCACAAAGCCTCCCCATGCTTTAATGCAAAATAAATTCTCCTGTGTCATATTTTAATGTGTGAGGCATGTGTCGTGGATCACAAGTGTTCTCGTCAAATACAAAGTCTACATGCATTTTGGGGCATTTTTAACATGATTGTCGATAAAATAGTATCGATCGGTTGACTGAACATGTTACTTGTTTCCTGCCTGCAGGAGGACCACGAACAGGCCAGAGTATGAGCATCAGAGCAGTGGGACCTACACCATGTCAGGTAAAAGGTCTCACACTTTAAATGTATGCACGTCAGCACCACTTATGACGGTCACTATAGACAGTCAGAGGAATTTAATAGTTTACCCAAGCTGCATTAGATCTTCCTTTAAAGTGAAGCTGTGATTTTGGAGAAAAATGTAGTACTTATGCTTCCTATGTTTCACTGCATGTCTGTACAAACAGTTTTGTCTCTACCTGAACATAAAAGAAGCTTCTCCGGTACTTGATCTACAAACGCTCTGTGTCTAGATCTCCTCACTGATGGACACTGTACAGAGCTTTGCTTATCTGAGCGAACGTGACTTCCCAGAAGAGCTCTGCATTACACTCAAGAGAACATTTAACAGCTGTCAAAGATGATCCATCACATGCCATACTTACATATGTACCGTGCATGCACTGGACGAATTCCCTTCTCTTTGTCAAGGAGAAACTCGACTACAGTACAATGCCCCATGACTAAAACAGCAGAAAGGCTAATTCGTTTGGAAGCAGAGCTTAGCTATGACAGCCTCAGAGCCACAGAGTCAGAGCCGGCTGAGACGCTCCAGCCTTAAAGAGCGTGTGATCCACACGAGGTGAATGAGGCAGGCAGGTTTTTATCCAGCTGGAGAGAGACACCATGTGGTGAGGATTCCTCCTGCTGCTCCAGCACAGGCACACCCAGGCTATGGCCATATTACACCCAGCCTCTTTAATACGAGTCTAGTGTTAAAATGTACAAATTGATATATAACAGCTTTGATTACATAAACTAAATTTAAACTGTAAAGTCTCTGAATCCAAATTGAACACTGTCCATTGTATAAAAAAAAGAAGAAAAAAAGAAAGAAAAGGAAACAAGAAAAATGCATAATTGACTAAAAAATGATTAACACATCATTGTGTTGGTCTGACAGTCATATTATAAGTTAGTCAAGACAAGTGTGCAAAGTGTGGCCCTGAAGGAGCCGACATTAACACACAGCTGAATGGTTTGTGGCATTTGGTGTGCGACTCCTCCACTGGGACGGGCTTTGAGTGACACTGAAGAACATGCACATACTGTACAGCGCGCTGCCAGCAGTCATCATTTATCCCCAGAAAGCTGTCCTTTGCAGGTGCACAGACTCCCTCTTTCTTCTACCTTAATGTGTCCCTCCATGAGATGGTGAGATTGTAAAGAGAAGAGGATAATGTAGTTAGCCTGAGATGTTTCTCGCTTTATTGCTTGAGACTGTGTACTCGTCAGCCTTACAGCATCACACTGTGAATGTGAGAGAACGCAACTTCCCTTCATTAACAATGTGATAGCCTGCAGACCAAGTGTGAGGTCGTAGCCGACAGCCTATATTTGTGTTAATTGTTAGCGTGGTGGTAGCTCTGGTGTGTGTGTGTGTGTGTGTGTGTGTGTGTGTGTGTGTGTGTGTGTGTGTGTGTGTGGGGGTGCCTGGGTGTGCGTGTGTGCGTGTGTGCGTGTGTGCGTGTGTGCGTGTGTGTGTGTGTGGGCTGACAGCTGGCCAGGTTCGAGTTGGTCTAAAACCATGTGCGCTCTGTCAGGGTTGTACAGGCGCCTTCTTTAGGATTGATGAATTGCCTGCTTTCTTGATTAAACCCTCCGTCACTTCCCAACAAAACAAAAACCCCAACACAAAAAAAAAAGCGAGTTGAGGGGAGGAGAGGTAACATGTCTGGGAAATCTGTCATCTGCAGTCACATCATGTACAGATGTGATGTGCAGGCGCTTTGACATTTATTACCAGAATATTAAAAACTAATTCACATTTATTTTGCAGCCCTCTTTGACTTGACAGTTCAAGCTCATTTGAAAAGTTATCAAGTTTTCATAGCAGCTCCAACCTTTTGCTTTTCTTTACCAGCGTTTCTTTGATCCATGCAAAGTCCCTTTGCCAATTAGGTGTATTATTCACACATTGACAGGAAAGCAGGGTATTTTAAAGGTAATTAAAGTTGGATTCATGAAATGTGTCTAAAAAGCATATGTTTGATAAAAAATAAATGTAACAGTGCTGGGGAAAAAAAAGTCTAAAACCTATGTGACGCTGAGTCTGTTGCATTGCCGTCTCTCTTCATTACCTACAGAGCAATATATAGTATTCAGCAGACATCCACCTGATAAAAAGGTAAACGTAATAAAAAGTAATACATTTACATATCTATCGCATTAATCAAAAATAAATCCTGACATTGGCCCTGATCTAACGTAATATGGAGAGCAATTATTTCCCTATCCATTAGAGGAACTTCAATTAACAGACACCAGACAGTTCATCCTTCAGAGGAGGAGGAGGAGGAAAAAAATAGGAGGCTCAAAATTAACTTGGGTTTGCAAAATATCTTGGCAGGATGACAGTGATTTTTGATTTTCAGGAAACAATATTAGAATTCTTATTAAACTATGTGCATCTGCTTTTAATTTGCTGCAAATAATTGGAAAATGCAATGGAGCTTTCCAATTAAAGCTCCACTTTATGCTGTTTAATAATACCCTCATAATATTATAGCTTATGAAATGACAGGTGAGTTGGTGTATGAATAAAACATAAAGCCCTGTAATAAGAGACAGAAAAAAAAAAAAAAAAAAAAAACGAGACAGTTGTTGGGGGGCTTTTAAATGCTCGACATAATTTGCATATATTAATCTCCTCTTTTCAGCCTTATCAAGTATTCCACTGTATTTGAAGTTAAAATAGTCATGACAGGCAGGGGTACGCTTCGTTTTTCCAAGGATTTATTACTTGTATAATTCTGGATCTTTAATAAGCCAATATGACTGATCCTCTGAGTTCTGTGGAATTTGGTTAATTGTTCCAGATGGTGCTCACTGATTATGCAAAATTACTTTCTTTCTCCTCTTTTTCCCCCAACTACACCATTTCTTGATTGACTAACATGGAGAAAAAAGATTATTTTTGGCGCAGCACTTTCATTAAGAGGGTTCTCATCAGGTTTCAAACAAAAGTTCCATCTTATCTCCCTGTGTAGTTCTGGGCGAGGCTGTACAGAGGGAGGAGATCAGCCGGCTCTTATCTCAAACCGTGATGGATCTCAACTGCTTCTGCACCGCTGGGGTTATATTTTAGAATAACACAATTCTTTAGGCTGAGGGATTAAAAAACACGACCTCTGGATAGTGACACAAAAGTTATTATTAGTGTACGCTGTTCTCTTCTTTCTCTTTTCTCCTCTCTTTCTCTCCCAGAGATTGATGAAATTACTAAGCAGCAGGGTTGGTCCTACACTCGCAGCTCGGGCTCCATCCACAACTCACTAACATTCTGTTTTGCATCAGCTAAACTGAGCTGAATGAATCATTTATGGAAGTGTTATGGGGGAGGTATGGGCAGATTTACTGCCGAGCTTTTACTTTGGATGGAATGGGATTTCTATGAAACCGATCTTGATGTCTGAAGTAATGCCAAAGCTTACATCAAGACATGAAAGGAACGCTCTTAAAACCCACGTTTTGCTTCTTAATTCCCCTGGTCAGCAAAAGGCGAAACAGAGAGCGAGAGAGAGGTTCAGCAGAAGAATAGTATTTACACCTAATGCATACACATATACACACACACACACACACACACACACACACACACACACACACACACACACACACACACACACACACATACTGTACATTCATGTCCTAAAACTGTTTACTACCCCCAGCAACTAATGATATAAAGGTGTGCTGAAATCTTATAATTTCTTGTAAATTACAGCGTGTTCAAATTTACTTGAATTCAGTTTTAGTTTTTTGTGCATTTTCCATATTGACATAGCAGCATAGTGTCATTGTTTTGGGATGAATACTGCAAAAGTAAATTAAAAATTCACACCAGCATGCTGTGAAGAAAATTCTATGTTAAAGGCAACTGTGAAAAAAATACAAAAAACCAGTAAGCAGTTCTGAGAAAGAGAGGAGAATTATTGTCAGTGTCATGAAGTGAAATACAGTCAGAAATTGCTTAAAAAAAACCAAAAAAACATGGAATAATTTTGCTAAAGTCTGGACAGTGCGTGTATGTACTTCTCTGGATCTGCAAAAAAAAAATTTGTTTGTTAGTGGAGATTATGGAAGAAGTATTTCTTACATTTACTACAGTTTTTATTCTTGTGATTCTGGAAATTATTAGTGTGTCTTTTAAAATCCTCTTAGCTGCTGATCTCAATGAAAAACACTGATACATGTCAAAGCAAATCCGTTCGGTGGCGACCAAAGTCAGCTGTGTGAAAATGAAGTCTTTTATTTTGTATAGTCTGTGTTTATCTCCCCAGTCAAAAAGCTCTTTTCCTCTCTAACAGGTAAAACGCCATCTCAAGAAAATCCTGTTGGAGTTCATCCTGTCAAAAATTCTATTTGACTTTACAGGTTTGGTAGCAAAACATGATCGATCCCAGTGTGGTGGTGCCATTAAGTATTTGGGAATTAATCCTGTATAAATCCTAATGGAATTTTTGACTGGAGCCTGGAGGCCCTCGGGCATTTTTTTTTTTGGACCTTTATTACAGTCAAATAAGAGACTTTACAAGGCTTTGCATTTGCAGGCCAGACTGGACTCTGGAGTCTCATCCCTCATTGCTTTCTATCCATCCCTGAGATAGAAGCAGTGCTCCATTAGTTTCAGTGTCCAGACGTGGACAGCCTCAATGGATGGGCCTGTCACGGCTCCCTCATTTGCCCCATGTACAGCAGGGTTTGTTATCACACATCTAATTAGAACTTGATAAAAAATATTTCACAAAAATCCAGTCATTAAATATAGTTTAAGGAGATTTATGGTCAAATATGCCTTAAAGATCTTTTAATGGCTCTGCTGACTTGTTAAGTTTGTAATTAATGATCTTCTAATACATACTGTGGTGTGATTTAGAAAGCACAATGAGATTCTGGGAATGAAGTCGTTCTGGAAAAGGGCATCTGGGGCTCCCAGAAGCTATATTAAATAGTTCTTCTCAGACTGGTTTGCTTAGAGCCATAAAGTCTGCTGTGAAAAA